CATCTAATGATGGAGGCTGCAGGACCAATGGGGATTTGGTCCATTTTACCATGTGTATAGTATTGTAAATTTTAACATTCTTCCACAGTTTGTCTTTTATCTGACCATCTCTACATTTTAGCATTACACTGCTTTAATATCCAGTCTCTGGCCTTTTTCAGTCTGTTAGCAGTTGATTAAGAAATACTCTAATCCCTTTCAGGATATTGAGAAACTAATGGATTGCAGAGTGTTTGGGTCTTTAAGCTTCAATTGTAAATGGTATGAAGAATTGTCATTGAGCTGATATTTGCATATATCTCTCCCAGTGCTAGTTACTTTGCCTTCTTTTTTGTTCTCCTAATCTTCAGCTTTCATTCTAAGAATATTTATTTTAGCCCGAAATAAGCATGCCAGTGATAGAAATTTGGGATTCACCTCCAGATGAATGCCATCACAGACAGGGAAGTTCTGGCACATTTTGCATAGATCTGTATGAACACAGTGAACCCTTCATAAGCTCTTAGATTGCAGGAAATCAGTGCAGAAAATTAAGTGGGGTTTTAAAGATTTGCAAAGTAGAGAGCTTTGTATAATGCTGGTATTGCAGGTGCCTATTAAATATGAAGTAAAGGCTTTGTAATACAACTCGCTAACACATTTCCCTACACATTAGAGTGATTTATAGCCAAGGGAATTAGCCTTGCCTATTTTTTTCCAAATGCAGAAACATTGGATGTGTCTGAAAAAAAATAAAAATCTCAGACACAGGCCTTAGGAAGGACAGATCTGCTCTTTTCTGATTCTTGTTATTCAAGGTAGATGATGCAGGCCTGCTCATAGTTACCTGCAGTACCTCCGATGCTCTTAATCTGGTCGTCACCACTTCTGACCAGAAACTCTTAATTGTGTGTGTAGAACCCCCTCTAAACGTAAATCAGAGTAAGCTCTAGGTATCTATCAAACTATAGCATTATTATAATGAAGAAAGCTGGCTACTAAGTGAGTGCTTTGATCCTCATAAGAATTGCTATTGAGTCATATCTCAAACTGTGTATTTAGGATTCACCTTTACTCCATTTGTTAATAGTGGACATTTGTAGCACATCATTTCATTCCAAACATACATGACTTTCAATATATTTACCTTGGTGACACTTCAGTAAGATGCCTCACACTGTTCTAATGTTTAATGACTTTTACCCTTTTAGATAAAACCTGGTGGAAATAGTCATGCATATTTTGAAATGCCTTTACAAATCCTGTATTTTTGCTTACTAGAAAAAGTACATAATCCATGTGCAGTCCACAGTAGGCACAGTGGACTTGCTGAGAATCATCATAGTTGATTGATTTTGAAAACATAACAGTTTATGTATAAGACAATAGCAACTACAATTCAGTGAATGAGTTTTTTTCCTTATTAAACCTCAAAAAGTAGAAGAATGGACACACATAGGGGATATAGGATAAAGCTGTAACTTTTATATGAAGAATGTGTCTTCTGCTGACAGTAGTTTCATGGTAGATCTTTTTTTGAGGAAAAGGTAGTTTTTTGGATTCAGAGGATGCAACCAATCTGTGCCTCTGTGTGATAGCAGCTGCATGCTGAGGACTTTCAAATACACAGTTACACAGGATTCTGCAGGAAACTTTTTGTAGAAGGTGCAAGTGACAAATGGAGACAAAATGGAGTGAGTTCCGAGTTGTGAGTTGATACCCTCCTGTGTCATATATAAATGTCATTGAACCGATTTTCACATTGGAAGTCTTGAAGCACAATAGTTTCCCCTCTGTTTGTCAGCTGTGAACACACCTGGATTGGCAGCTTTTCTTTGCTCTGTTTCTTGTCATTCACTGGATGGACTATATTCATTTATGTTACTCAGTGTACATCTGCTTGCTTTATGTCCTCATAGGGTTTCAAATTGACAAAAAACTATTTCTGCATATCATGCTTCCAAAAAAAACCAAACAAAATATTTTGTTGACTAGATAATAGTGGATCTCTATAATTTTCCTTTATCATTTTTTTAAATTGAGTTTTCTTACTGATATTATTTCCAAAGTTAAGAACACAATTTTCTACTGTGTAGGTTAATATAGAGTATTTGTGCTATATACAGTCTATTGACTACTTCTTTGTATCCCTAATCCATTAAAATCTCATGTAAAAATTAGTTCTATAGAAATAAATTCTTTTATTCTACAAAATTGAAATGAGAATCAAAATTACATTAAGGCATAGTAAAACAAAACGTCTTTAGGATATTTTAGTTTGATATGAACTTATTCTTGGTCTTGACAGCATAATTTTCTGCCAAGCAGTGAGGGCAAAATATGTTTAATTAATTGATTGATTTTTAAACATGAAAATAATTAAGCAAAATCATTTTGACACCTAAAGTCTCTGTTTTAGACAATTAAATTCTGCTTTAGCTAAGGGTTATTGACTTCTGGATGATACTGGGAGCAGCACTCCTCAGGGTTTAAGCTATTCCTGCAGGACCATCTGTTATTGGCAGGTTCTATGCATTCTCTCCAGCTGATGCAGTATCAACCCCAGGCGAATTTTCAGGATTGTTCAAAACATGACCCTGGTTCCTCATAATCTTTTATTCTCAAATGGCAACTCAGTCAAATCATATAGTTGCATATCAAAACTTAAAGCATATTAAGAAAAATGTAAGAAATTCCCTCCAGTGAAGAGACTATGTCTTACCCTATATTTCTAAGGCTAAGCAAGTCTATATCAGTTTCTAGAAGAGTAATTAATGAGTCTTCAATATATGATGGATCAAGTTATATTAGAATCATACTTTACACTTGTGGAAAATTTCCATGTCTACAAGACATTATTATTCAGTTTGTCTGTAGAAACTGAGAGTCACAAATGTGTTTTGTTTTCTGGCTAAAGCCAGTGGCTGATTTTTTTTTTTTCCATCTTCATTTTTGTTTTTGTTGTTGTTGAGGTAACTGGTTTACAATGTTGCTTGTGCTTTAGAGGTAAAGGCTCTCCCCCTTCAGGTGTTGTTACCACAATACACCCACCACCAAAGCACCCACAGTCCACCATATAGTCCATTGCCTCCCCTCACCCCATTCTTTTCTTACCCCTCACTTTCTGGTTGCCTTCAGTTTTGCAAGATTTCCAGAGTTATTTGTTTATAAAGCCGGTGACTTTTATTTCCAACCTAGAACTCTATCTCTGTTCTGGTATTTCTTCCTCAAATAGGACCTTCTTTGCTTGTGTTACACTATATTTTTTGGCCAGATATGTTTAAAACATTATCTTTAAGGAATTATAGCCCAAATCATTAAAAAAACAACAAAAACAAAAACAAAACTTCATATTACAGAGCATCCAAAATTGTTCTTCACAATTTACCTCCCAAAAAACTAACTGTGGATAATAATTTTACTTCAAAATGTGGTAAGCATATGACATACCTACAGAAGCTCATCTGAATCTATTGCTGTGACAGAGGCCAAAATAAAAGTATATATGGAGAGATTTTTGAATGCTTGTTATCAGCTGCTGTTGGTGATTTCTTCTACAACTGCTGGTGTCTGATGACAAAAGCTTTACTTAGATACAGGAATTTTCTGTGGTTGAGGAGTCTCCATGTTCTTCAATTTAAGAAATTATGATTTTTGGACACCCCTTCATTCATGTTTCTGGGCTCCAGGGAGTACCCACCTAATCTATCCTACCTGCTATTTATGAGCAAGTATAGGCACTCTTAGACTGCATTTGCATTAAAAATAACAGAAATATAATTAATACTTTATGTCATTTATCAGTATTTTGACACTAATGATTTCTGCATCTAGTTAGCAAAACAAGTGAAGCAGAGAATTAGAAAACTGCTGATTTTTATACATATAAGTATACTTTTTAAATGACTTCATCCAAGATATCTGTGGTTTCCATATTTTCCCTCTTTTCTTCACACCAATATGTCTGCCCATCATAAGATCTTTTTTTCATATTAAGATATGGGAAGGTCAAGGGTGAACTAAATAAACAGATTCTTTCTCTTCCAAGTCTCCTTATCCAAATTTTTTATTTGAGCCTTTGAACGCTTAGATTACTGAGTGATTACTTCTAGAAATAATGAGCAATAGATTTACTTTGAAATCTGTTTGATAGAGACAACTTATTAAGAGCAAAAAATAGTCTTCCCATTAAAGTTCCCTTAATAGACTTTTAAGCCATCCAGACAGCACTGTGGAATCACATATAAATTCTATAAAAAGAAGCAAAATAATAATTGAATAGTGACTAAAGCACTGTCTACTATATTAATTTTAGAAAGATAAATTGGGTGTCCCCTAGACTAGTTTCTTAAGACGTAAATGGACCTTTGAGATTATTTGACCTATTTAATACTTTTTTCCCCAATTAAAAAAAAAAAAAAGAAAAACTGGGACTCCAAGAAGAAGTTTGATATTTGGAGTAAGAAAAATGACTTGCTGAACTGCTACTTAAAAGCTGTGTGACATTGGACACATCAGGTAAATGTGTCAGTTCTTGCTTTCCTCCTCTGTAAAATGGATATAGTTAGGCCTAATCCATAAAGCTGTTAAAAGATTTTGTACAAGTAAATATCTAACCCATGTAGACAGACACTCAAAAAATAAAAACTTGTTTTTCCACTCTCTCACCACTTACAGAGGCACTGATTTCTCTTAATGCCAGCTCTTAGTTTTGTTTTGGTGTTTTTCCTAAATCTGTTCCATCATATCTTTTTAGTAAGCAAGTCATCTCTACTTTCGGTTTTAAATGCTATTGTTTGATCATTTTAGGATTTCTGAGAAGTTGATATTTGTAGCAGATCAGAGTACAGCTAATAGGGTTATATTTTCTTTTTATCCTAGTCCCTATTGTTTCACATATGTATAATTGCTTTGTCTTTCATTTTGAGTATTTTATCATTTCATTTGTATGTCAGGTTTTAAAATTATTCTGTTTCTTTTAGTATTTGCTATTAATTTACTTCCATGTCGATTACCCATAGGAACTCTCCCCGTCTGGGATTTTCACCTTATACATCACTCCTATTACAAAACAACATATGAGAGAATGAATCTGTTTCACAGTCAGTACTTAACACAGCTGGAGCCATTTGAAACCTGCTGGGTTTTGCTTCCAATTATTTCATAGACTAGAAAGCATCTCTGGTGAAGTAATGGCATCCATGGTATAATCAAACTAGTTAAAATTCCTTGGAATATATGGATCATATTTCTGGGACTCATCAAATGTATGCTAGAAGTATAATGAACAGTAAATATTTAAACTGTTTTTCACTTTATGACAATATATATTCATTTATAAATAAATTTAATGTTCAAATATTCACGTTTATAATATTTGAGTATGTGACTAACATAGTAAAATATAACAATAACGGATAAAATTAAACACAATAATACTTGAAAAATACTAGTAGTATCCTGGAATCAAAACCATCGCCTTACATGAGAACAGCTAAAATCAACTAGATTCAAGGTAATGATTTGGATCAAAATGTGTTGTGGGGAGATCAAGATGAGGCAGGAAGTGTGAGGGGGTGAAAGAATTCACCAGAGACAGAGTAGAGAACAGAACAGGAGGGTTAATTGAAATAGTCTGCTAAGAAAAGCAATGGGTGAGACTGGAAAAAGTCTGTACTCTAAGAAGGATATAAGGCGCTCTATAATGTTTTACTTGGGCTTTCTAAATTGGGGTGTCAGTTTGCACCAGTTCTCTCCTGGGCTGTCTGATCTGGTGCTAGTCTTTGACACAGAAATGTTTTCTGGTCTCTGCTTCTGCATTCCTGGAGCTGGGCTGGTTTTTCTGGTCATAGTGGTGAGTTGTATATCCTTGTCCCCAATTTTATGTCCTCTGGTCATAGTAATCAGCCTTATCAATTATCTATTACAGCCTCCTGAACCTGCCTTCTGAGCCAGGAGAAGGGGCTTGATTTTTAACCTTACTAACTTGTACCCCAACAGAATATAGTGGGGTTGTTGGTAATTCAATTACCGAGTAATTAAGAAGTAGATACAGTCAAATTTCAATTTGCTCATTGTGACTTAGATTGTAGAAACTAAATTTTTAACATCTCATTGACCTTTACTATACTCTCAGTATGATTCACTTATTTTTGGATTGGCTTTTTGGTTTAGTTCTAATTTCATTGACAGTGACTCAGTAAGATGTAGCTCAGTAAGAAGAAAGGACTGTAAAAACAAATAACATGTGCCCTGGTTCTTGTGTAGATAAACAAATCTTAAAAAAAAAAGATAGAAAGAAAAAGGGCCCCCCGGTAATGCAGGTGGTTGAGTGCAGCGCTGTGAACATGTCCGCAGCCTCTGTAGTGCAGGTTCCATCCCGGCCAGCTGGGGAGATACCCACATGGTGTGGCATGCTGCTCCCCTCAGCAGTGTATTTCAGTCAGTCTGCCTGTTCTATTCCCCACTCTGTCTCTGGTGAATCCTCTCACCCTGGCCTATACCCTGGTTCTTGTATCAATAAATGAATCTTTAAGAAAAAAATAAAAACGGGCCTCCCCGTGGTGCAGCGGTTGAGCACTGGGTTGCGAAGCTGCTTGCAGCCTCGCAGCCTCTGCAGCGTCAGTTCGATCCCCGGCTGCTCCCCGCCCACCGGAAGAGGGTCCCACATGGCGCCCAGACCTCTCCTGCCGCCCGCTGCTCCCCTCAGCAGTGTACTTTGGTCCTTCTGCCTGCTCTGCTCCCCGCTCTGGCTCTGGTGAATTCCCTCACCCTCCCGCGCTTCTGACTGTACCCAGTGCTTGTATAAATAAATAAATAAATCTTTTTTTAAAAAAAAGAAAAAAAGAAAAACAAATAACAACAGAATAAATAATTTTTGTGTTGGCAACAATTTAAAATGTGGCAAAGTAGAATAATTTCCTTGTTTATGTTTAAAGATTTATTTATGTGTACAAGAACTGGGGTATAGGGCAGTGGCATAGGGTGGGGGGGTGAGAGGATTCACCAGAGATAGAATGGGGAATAGAACAGGCAGATCCACTGAAATGCACTGCTGAGAGGAGCAGCGGGGGAGGCAGGAGAGGTCTGCTGCACCACCTGGATCAGCTCTCTGGCCTGGGATCAAACTCACCCTACAGTGGCTGGCAACAGCTGACATTGTTGTGCTTTAACCCCTGAGCCACTAGGGAGGCCCATCCTTTAGAGTACTGCTTATATGATGCTAAATGTGATATCTACCTTTTAACCTTGTGATACAGAAGAGTGTGGGGCCACGTGTAGCTACCACCTTGGGTATCAGGTCAGATGGAGTTACTAAGATTATACCATGCATATAGATCGCCAATAATAAAATCTGTTTAATCCCATCACAGGGGAAACTGTGATCATTAGGCAAAACATTATTTAAATGGTAAGGTTCAGATTTTAAATATTTGGGAAAGTGCAAAGACTGGATGATGTCACCCAATAAAAGATCAGATAAAGCCAAATTTACCACAAACCCTAGAAAATTGACTGTAGAACTGAGGCTGCATGTGGAGGCAAGAACAAAGTAGAGAAGGACCATAATAGACTATGGTGGTGGATTATGGGCGTTTTATTGGTGGGTGCTCTGTGGTTACACTACTAGAAAGGGAGATCCTATACTTCTAATACACAGACAACTTTGTAAATCATTGGCTCAATTAAAAAAAAATAGTGTCTTTTTTGAACATTTTAGTATTCTCATGGCATAAAATACATACCAATATAATATATGTAGCTAAAAATAAATAAGATGGCCAACATTTTATGTTGTCCATATCAATTATATCTTCTTTTTTTAAAGATTTATTTATTGATGCATATAAGAGCTGGGGTGTAGGTCAGTGGTGTGTGGGGGTGTAAGAGTCATCACCAGAGACTGAGTGGGGAGCAGAACAGGTGGATCTACTGAAATACACTGCTAAGGGAAACAGTGAGTGAAGCAGGAGAGGTCGGCTGTGCTATGTGGGTTAGCTCCTTGGATGGGGATTGAACTTGTGCTGCAGTGGCTGCTGATAGCTTCATAGTGCTGAGACTTAACACCTTGTGCCACCAAGGAGGCCCTATATCTTCCATTAACTCTTATAATGGATAGTTACGTATGAGGAAATCTATGTAAATTCCAGTTGAGAGAATTACTTGTTCTATAAAGAAAATTATATTTCTTAAACTTCACATCTTTTCTATGTGAAGAGTTCATTTGATTTTTCTTACTTAGCAGCATGAGGGGATTTTCTGCCTGCTGAACACTTATTTGGGTGTGAGCCTGACAGCTAGATAATATCCAGTCTTGTCACTAGATCCATGACTATATTATATTTTCTTTAATGGATACTAAAATTTATTCCAGAATTGCATCCTATAGTTATAAATATGTATTCTTTTATAATTCTGTGATGTATTACCATGGTTTTCCTCTGTCAAAGATGTGTGCTATATATACAAATTAATCATTTTCTTTAATTCTGATACTCAACAGACATCTATTGAGTAACTGCTATGATCTAAGAACCAGTGTTATGCAATGGAATTTATTAAATGATTAAGACATTATTCTATCAAAGATTCCAGTGATTTTGAACATAATACCCCCCACCCCTTAGAATTCCTTTATTTTAAAAAAAATGAGTTCTCTCTCAACTTTAAATTGATGTCATCATGTCCCTGAAATATATTTTTAAAGTCTCTCTTTTTTAAACTAGTGCTAGAGACTTGATGTTTCTGTAGGGTAATAAAATTCTAAGATCTATTACTCTAATTATAAGAATGCCAAGTTTAAATTTATCCTTGGGTTAATTTAGAGAGAAATACACTTTTTCATCCTTAAAATCACACTTCTTCTATAGGCAAAGGTGTTAATAAAATATAGTTGCAAGTGAAACTTCATTTTTGGAACTATATGAGACAGTGCATTTGATATATTAAAAATCACTTTAAAGGGCCTCCCCGGTGGCGCAGCGGTTGAGCGCCGGGTTGCGAAGCTGCCTGCAGCCTCTGCAGCGCTGGTTCGATCCCCGGCTGCTCACTGGCCACCAGAGGAGGGTCCCACATGGCGCGCAGACCTCTCCTGCCGCCCGCTGCTCCCCTCAGCAGTGTACTTTGTCAGTCTTCCTGCTCTGTTTCCTGCTCTGGCTCTGGTGAATTCTCTCACCCTCCTGCGCTTCTGACTGTACCCAGTGCTTGTATAAATAAATAAATAAATAAATAAATAAATAAATAAATAAATAAATAAATAAATAAATCTTAAAAAAAAAAATCACTTTAAAAACATGGCACACAATGATAATGTTGAATAATAACCTAAGTTTTAAAAGACAGTGTTCTCTAAAAATGAAGTGTCACATATAGGGATCCATTGGGAAAGGAATATTTAACTCATAATAGTCTGCAAAGGAATGTTCAACTCTTACCCTTCCAACGGACAAGTCTAACATAGATAAGGAACATGGATGTTAAACTCTGGCTACAATAAATGTTTGGTTTAATAAGTATTTCTTTCCAGATGGTTCTTATTTGGGCAAGTCCGTTTTCTTATGAATATTTATAACAATATTTCAAGAAATTTTTGCAGTGACATACATATTGAAAATAAAGACCTTCATTATATACATATATTTTTTTTTCCTTAAATCGAGAAACATTCATACCCTGAAAAAATGGTTTCCTTTAATCAGAAAAAGATGTCATAACTGGACTATACATTTCAGACAACTGTGTTATTTTTAATTTAATTATTCATTTAAAATTTACATATGAATTTAAATTCATATGAGCAAGTCATTTCAAACTTTCAACTAATATTAAGCAATTTTTTTTAAAATAAGGTATTTAATGCCTCACCTACACATTTTTCTGCAAGTATATTTTAAGGTAAATTGTTAGTACCAGAAAATGTAGTGTTTAATTGAAATTAGGCTTCAGTGATAACCATCAACCTGGTGCCTAACTCTGAAAAAGATCCTTCCAACTGTTCTGTGGATGCTGAAGCAAATATCTCCAAGGGATTACTAACATATAAATGAAATTCAAAATTGAAACCTGGTAAAATATAAACACCTCAGAAATAAGAAGTGTAATCATACTAGTTCACTAAAAATATTGATTAAACTATAAATAATATTTTGAAAATCATAAATGTATTTATGTGATCATATAACTGTCACCTACATTTTAATCATATGAACATATGAACATTTTGGTAAACTAACTTAGGCCCAAGGAACATACCAGATTAAACGTAATAAAATAGATATATTTTAAAAAAAGGTTGGTATGGAAATCACAAGTAAATGATTTCTAATAAAATCAAATATATGGTAATTTCACCACTTACTAAAAGTGAGTTAAAATTTGGTGCTTTTACATAGTTTTAATTCCTTACTTATTGTGATTTTTATAAGTGACTATGCATTGCTTTACCAAAGAGAATAAGCCAGTAGGTATTATTAAATACTTAGATTTTCTGATTTTGAAATCTTTCATACACATTACTTTCTAATTTTTGTCATAAAATCTATTTAAAATCACCTATACTTTGTTAAAATTTCACTTAACATCTTTATAATTCAATTATCTTATCTGAAAATTACATTATTCAATTCAGCTATTTTTTTAATTTCTGTTATTAAAAATTGAACTATGATTTTTGTGTTAATTACTTAGGGAAAGATCACTCTTTGGTTGGATTCCTCCAACCATCCAACATCTGTCTTGCCTACTTCCTATCTGTTGATAAATGTTCAAACAGTACAGATCAATGTTAACACTGGATCAAGAAAAACACTTACAAAATAAATCATGTGATTCAGTGTCTCCTGACAAAGACAGACTAGCAATATTCCCATTGTTTGTGTGATCTATGTTATCACTCTTTTGCATTAGTGTTGATAACAGAGCATTGCCTTTATCTTCTTTGCTTCTGCCTGATTAATTTTCCCCTTCTGAACTAGAAAATTAGCATTTTCTCCTCAATAGAAAATCAAAAAACAGAACAATAAAACCCAAGCAGATAGTTGATATTTATAGTTTGAATGGAAAAATACCAACTTTAAAAAAGGATGTAGCTACTATATTTTTATCAGTAATATTCTGTTTATTTTTTTCCAGTGGTAAGACATTAGAATATACTTAATATTTCAATTTTTTGAATATTGGGGATTACACACAGTTTTGTGAAAATCTATTGATTTTTTTTTAAAGTCAAATAGTGGTAATTTTGATTGATGGAATCAATTGTTATAGGATGAATCTTGAAAAGCTAATTAAACCAAATGATTTTATTGTCAGCCTATACACTGAAGGGAAAAAAATAGAGCTAAGGTAAAGAAATAATGTAAACAATTAGGACTATCAATATATTGCTGAAGAAAATCAAGTTTAAGATGAAAAGGACTGATGTAAATTAGCTGACATAACCCCCTAATAGACTGCCTATGTGTTAAGTAACAAGAGCTATTTTCTTACAGGATTAAAAAATCAGAACTTGGTTTGCCATACATAGCAGAGACTCCCATATTCTCTACAGAATACTTCAGAAACAGTCTTTATAAGATAGTTTTGGAACCTGGATAGTAGCTTTGAAATATTTTCAACTCTAATTACTGAACCTCAAAATATCAAAATCTGCTTGCATTCATCACTACTCACTACATTATATTCTTTCAGTTCATAAAGCTTTAGGAAAATCCAATTCTTTCAGTGCATTTTGTGGAGGTATTGCAAGACTCTTACACTGTAGTTGGATGGGTTTAGGAGTTGATTTGCAAGCTTGGGAAGTTGACATAGATGGGGGAAACTGTGGTTTGAGACTTACCACATATTGGCTACCAGTCACTTTTGTGTCTTTCATGTTAAACTGACTCATCCAATGTTAGTATCATGAATGTACAATACCTTATTTAACCATATGACTACATGGACATGATATATTTTCTAAAAATTCATTCTATGACTGTGAGGTTATTTGGAGGTTATTAAAAAAAAATTCACTGATGGCAAATTACCAAAACATCTAAAAGTGATCTAAAACAAAATGAGATTTGTGTCCAAAGAATACTCTGATAGCTTTGCATTAGCTATTTTGAACAGTAACTGATGGAATAAAATGTACAAAGTCTCTGGTGAAGTGAGAAGCTAGACAGACCAAATCTTAAAATCCTGTGAGTTTGTGGAGCATTGTCAGAGTGGGCCATTCAAGGGACAATGAAGTGAATCACAGCTACATGATTAATCAAATCAGTTCTCTATTGTAAAAGTACAAAGAGATGATGTCCGCTAGCATCTGATTTGGAATTGGATGCTTGTAGATGAATGAACTTGTGTAGATTGTGTCTTCCACTGTTTTGCTTGGAAAAGAAAGAAATTAATTAGAAATTTTAGCAAAAGCAACATTAGATAATCATAGTAGAGTAGTCAACTTAGGGGTAAAGCTAATACTAAGATACAAAACTATTCACTTTCATATTATTTTTATTAAGAAAACACTGGTTTACAACACTGTATATGATTCATAAATACAGGATCCCACCTCTTCAGGCATATGATACCACATCACACCCACCAAGGCACTGAGTCATTGTACACCTTCCTCCACTAGCTCTGGTAGTATCAGGTTTACAGTCAGATTTCCAGGGTTAGTTTGTGGTTGAATGTTCTCTGACTTATTGTTTTGTTTCTTTACATTCCACCTGTGAGGGAAACCAAACAGGATTTGTCTTCCTCCTTCTTTGGAGGCCAGTCCCCTCCAGTCTGATCCATACAGTTACAAATTGTAAGAGTTGGTCTTTCTCTATAGCTGAGTAGTAGTATTTCATTTTATTCTTAACAGTGTCTTATGAAGATCGAAACTAAGTATTTAATACTTTAACATAATTACTCATCACCTTATTACAAAAATAGTAAACATGCTTTTAAACATTTTCAAAAGTAACTGGGCCAAATAAACCACAGTAAGTCCTGCTAAATAGCAAACAGTTCCACAGGAGAAATGGAAGAAGTTGTAGACTCTGTAAAGAGAAGATTACAATATTCATTGTGGCACATTATTTCTTTATTTCTGGAAACTTAGTTAGCAGTGCTTTGAAACTAGACTTCCAACACCAGATAATGATAAGAGCAATCATTTACTTGAGTGCTTACTAAGTTTCTGGCATTTTTCTCAGTCTTTTACATGCATTAACTCATTGAATGGAAATAATGACCTGTGAGTTAGGTACTATTATTAATGTCCCTCTCTCACTGCTGAGGAGTAGTTAAATGATTTGCTTAAGGTCACACTTCTTGTAAGTGGAGACTAGTCCAGAACTTGAACTCTAGCAGTATTATAGTAAGCTTTGCTTGTAATTACTAAGCAGTACTGACTCTATGATTAAACTTTTGTTTAAGAAAATAAAATTGTGGCACATCACCAAGAGTCAACTGTGCCAAAAATAAATTCTTTGTGTAAAGGTAAATGAGGATAGCTAAATTCTAATTTAACATGTTTTGTTTTTAATGCCTGTAGTTGACAAATTTTGCCACTGATCCATGCATACCTGAGGCATTTGTGGTTCCTTACAGTTTACAATGAACATTCACAGACAGTACATAGTAGAAGTAGTAATAGCACTTGTATTTTTTAGGCAGAAGGATTCTGAATTCTTTCCAAAACAGTGGATTTTAGCAATGAATTTAAAACATTCTGCTCTTCTTAAAATAGAACAAGAGTTTTGTGATTATTCTTTTTTTAAACTACTCTCATTTCAGATAAGAAAGGATTTAGAAAGGGTGAGGTCAAACTATACTGATGACTAGCGTCGGCTAGGCTAGAATGATGCTTTCCTTTCCTTTTTTTTTTTTTTTAATTTTTATTCCAACCCCTATTCCTGAGTGGATCATGAGCAAAACCAGCACCCATCTCTGCACAAACAGTCCAGCTAAGATCAGCCTGGGCCTTCCCCCAGCTATCTGTAATGCACTAGAGGAACACACCTTCACAGCTATTTAGAACTCTATGTATAAGTCATTTTATTATTGTTTGTGAATGTCAGTCCTCTTCCTAGAGTAGGCTTTTCAGTTTTATCACCCACAGCTATAAAAAGTAGCCAGTAATTTTGTACTGTTCTATTCATATACCATATTTTATTGCTGGCTTCTTCATGCCTTCTTGCTTAAAACTTGAACAATAGGTAATAAACACTTGTCATCAATAACGTGTTAGGCTTTCGATATCCAACTATAAGTCTGAGAACCATTTTATCAGAATTGCCAAATTAAAATTGTTTATCATGTATTATTATAATGGAAGCATTTTCATAAAACTTCTAGGTAAGAAATCTGTAGTTTTAATTTGAGGGATATTTGAAGGTTAAAATGAAATAGCTTGAGAGTTATGGATGCATAGTGTTCCCTAGCCATATACACAGAGGAAATTGATTCTTGGAACAACACGCTAATGTTTTGTCCATAGTATGTAGTATATGAGGATCGTCGAATCACTGTCATGAATAAATTCTGTCACGTACTTACTAGAGAATAAAAGTCATTTGCTCTTTCAAAAAGAGTTCTGGGATTTGCAACAAGGAAACTGATTTATAATTTTCAAATCCTATAGTTTTGAAGCTTGCATTACTTAAATTTTGATTGTGCAGACTCACTTCTTATTTATGGCTTAGTTTGATTTGGGGGCAGAAGCTTTTTCTTGATAACTCTTAATTATAAACTTTAGTGGGCAGAACATTTTCAACTATTCTGATTAAAGAACAATGTTGAGCATGTTGGCTGAATAAAGATTTTATGTTATTAATCAGATAATGAGAATTTGGTAAGCACATTCCTTAGATCAACAATGGGTAGAAGAAACCAAGTTCACCTGTTAATTTTTCAAGGATCTAGATTGTCAGCCTTTTCATAGTTTAAATTACCAAGTTCTATACTGGAAAGATATAATCTTAAATATAAAGTAAAAAGTGAACTGAAAAATTTATTTCACACTCAGTAACATATGCAATAGAGTAATCAATTTGTGGTTGGAATGTGAGAAAACATTTTTGCTTGCATATTTGCTTAGAGTCATTTTTAGGCAAATATCTTCAAATGATATTTTGATGGAAATCAAGTTTAATGAGAACAAACATAACAGGAAGAGTGTTAGTAATCTCTTCTATCAGATTTAGGTAGAAGAGTGCCAAATTGTTTTGTTTTCACATTATAGTCTTGTGATAGAATTTCCACTTGGGGTTTGTAGACCAAACTGTCGTGTACTGACATAAATACAGTGACCTAATATGATTTGTTGATTTAGATTTCTAGATTATTCCAAGTATAGCTGGAGTTCTCCTTTATCTAGGGAGTAAATAGATAAGGCTTTGTAAAAAACTGAGTTAATTTTGCATTGACATTCTGGGTGTTGGTGATAATTTGTAGTGACATTATGCCTGTTGGTTATGATTGTGACAGGCAGACTCTATCTAAATGGACATTGCCACAGTCAAGTTTAATAGCCTCAGCATTGGAAATTTCTGCTTTAGGAGAGCAGAAGCTTTGCAGCATGTACTTTGTTTTCTACCTCCACAATTAGAGATTAATATACATCAATTTTAGGCAGTTGAGGAATGAAATGAGAAGATTAACAGAACTAGACAACATTATACAAGTGGAGTAAAAATTCTGTAACATTTTTTCTTCAGTGATATAGTATACTAGGCAAATGAACACCAATTCATAGCCTTTGCACATTCATGTTAAGATTAAGTTGATGGACAGCAAAGTAGAAAGCAAATACATAATTTACACTGTTATAATTTTTCTTATCAAATGCATAAATCATTTTCATATATATCAGGAATTGTTTCAAGTGACCTAATATTATATGGTGTATAAGGCTTCATCTATTTAATTCCAAAAATTGCTCTCTCTTAAAATTATTCACAGAAAATTTTTGTGATCACAAAAAGAAAACCAAATGCAATGAATGTATACAACAACAAATATACATAATGCTGTAGGAAGTGAAAAAAATTCCTTTCCTTACTAAAAGTTTTAGTGAAAATATTTCAACTCTAATTAATTGAAGACTCACCTAACTCCAATTAGTTATTGGTTACAAAGTCTACCTGTTACTGTAGTAGAATTATGGCCATATTTTCTACATTTTTTTCAAGTTATCTGAGAACATTTTAACTGTCTTTATTACAAATTGATTGCTTTACTAGTGATGGTTTAATAAAATTAGTGGTTTTGAACTTTAATTTGGCAAGCTCTTGAACATATTTTTACATATATTTCTGATGGGGGTGCTGATCTTTAGATTTTTGATAATGTGATTTTTTAAGATGTCTGTTCAGTAGAAGATAATTTATTTTCCTTTATTGTATGCATTCTCTTTTTCAGTCACAAAATTCTATGCTGTATATAAATTGGCAAAAGCAAATTACAGAAATAAGGAAATGACTTAAACTTTTACAGAGCCATCTACCTAGGGAATGGATTGTAGTAATTCCTGGTATTAAAAAAAATAACTGTCAGAATATTAATGTTGAAGCCAAAAGGACTGGAAATATGCCAAATTTAGGACAGTTATTTGAAAAAAGAAAAATCACAAACTTGTCAGTCATATGTCTGAGGTGATTGTAGATGAATCTTTGATATACAGAATGGTATTAAATTAGAATTAGCCTATTCATAGTAATGAGGTTCTAACTGTAAATAAAAAAAAAAGATTTGATTGTCTTTAAATTTTCTGTAAATGTGTTACCAATTTAGTGATATTTATAGCTTATGAAAACTTATGGATACTTGATTTCAAAAATTATAAAAGAATTGGTTTAAATATTTGAACTTCTTGTTATTTAGTTTCTAACATTCTGAGAAAGTGATCAAGTGACTGGAAATGTTATAACTTAGTGTGAATGTAGACATATTTATATTTGAAAGAATAATTGCTTTGCTGTAAAGTCTAAAAACACAGACTATTGTGAATACAGCAATGTGCATAATTGACCCCTGTTCATTTTACAGGGCAAAAAATAAGATGACTCTTTGGCAATCACATGTTACTTGAATTATATTTAATCTCCTACTACTCTGAAAACTCACATACATACAAACATTAATGCAAATATGGACAGAAGAAAACTGCCACTCATAGCGAGTACATTTCTTTTTGTCATAAACTGAATGTTAATAGCCCCAATGTCATTATTTACTGATGGAAACATAAGATGCCTGATTTAGAAAAGCCACATTCATGCTTTATGGTTTATGGCCAGCACTAAAAGTAGGTAAGGTCTACATTTGTGTGTGTCCTCTTCATAGCCTCCCTAATATTAACTGACTTATTGCAGAAAATGTATTTGCTTTTCATTCTGACCAATAAAAGGCAACTTGGTGAGTTATAGAGATTGACTGGGTGCTTGACATGTGGTGCTGCTCCATTAAGCAGAGGGCAGTTGGTACTGGGCAGGTTTAGGAGAATTTAATTTTCTTGCTTGTTTTTAGATATGCTTTTAGATATGTTGATATCCTAATATATTAAAAATATAAAAATGCAACATCAGCTCACATATAACAGTGTTCCTTTTATTGATTTTATAGTTCAAATGTTTGAAAAAATATATATACTCCAATTTATCCTATTATTGTGGTCTGAAATTACCAGAAAGTTTTGTGGATATAGTAAGATAAGCACATTGTTCATTATTTAAATGCAAAATGCATCTTTTCAATTATCATTGCCTAAGCCATTTTTAGAGAATTGATCAAGTAGTTCCTCAGTACTCCACTCTAAGATAGGTGGATGCATTTCATTCAATTTCCAATCTCTTTTTGAATTCTTATATGAAGCCTATAGAAAATAGAACATTGTTTTCAATTAAAAAAAAAAACCCTGGTAATTTCTATTCATTTTGATTTCTGAAAACTAACCACATTTTTTACTCCAAATAAATTGTCATGTATAATAATTATATGCTAAACATAATAAAATGTGGCTGAATATAATCTCCCTTATTATGCTACAATGTATGAATAATTATAAATGAAAACATCACATCACATTCTCCTATATTACCATTATTCTATAGTTAGCATTCATAATAAAGTATATTCTATTGTTATTGTGAAATCAGTTCTTCAGATTCATAGTAAGGCACTACACAAGTCATTATTATTAAAGAAGTATAGGGAAAATTTTTCCAATTGAAAACTAATAATTAAAGGTATTATTTAGAAAAGTATATTGCAGAGTAGATAAGAAGTTTAATGTAGCAATACCTTTCTATTTTAATTTCAAATGAAGTTTTTATATACACACAAAAAATTGGCTTAAGAATTAGGTGATATATTTTAGAAGTTTTAAAAAAGCCAAATTTATGTTGCATTGTGTTATATTAATGATTTTTCAATAAAAATTATTACCGGTAATGATTGGTAAAAGTTTTTCCTCCCTGTGCTAGTGATTTAAGTTGAATGGGAATTTAGTACTATGTATAGGGATGCATCTTAATATCTCTATTTGTTGAAGTGTTAAAAACACAATTTAAAATGTGTCCTCATTAAAATGGACTTTTGTACACTATAAATTGAATCAAGTAATGAATATATAAAGTATTTAAAAAGTTGTATATCAAAATGTATAACATTCCATTTTTGGCTATATTTTGTAAAACATTTTTGGTGTAATCAGTATGACTTTCACATATGTCAAATCAAGTATTTATTTAAACAGATATATACCTAATGTATTTGGAAGCTCATTGCACTCATATAATTGTATATATTGTGGCTTCAAAAGTCTGTACTTATCCTTGCTTTAAAAAAAGTAGTATGTGCATTTTTTCCAATTTATTTTCATTAATTAAGGAAAACATCCTTTACTAAATGTACTTTAAAATTTACAATAAAGTTTCAGAACTTGTTTTGTACAATGTTGAGATTTTGTGTTGAATTTGTTTGTGAACATTTTTTAAAATTGTTCTCTCGTTTTCTGATAAGAATCCCCTCAACTTAATGTTATCGATAAAATGTGTAGTTAGAACATTGTGTGGTAAATAGCTAACCTTGTCTAATTCAGGGGTGGTTGTCATAAGTGATGAATTTTGCATCCATGTAGAACCTTGGTTAAAAGACATGTTAAATCGGTTTTCCCCTCAAATTCCTAATTACTCTTGTGTCCACATTTCAGCATTGGAATGTCAAACAGGTTGCACTGAGTGTTCTAAACTGCAGATAAGCAGTTACACAGAGGTAATATGGAGAATACATTACCAGCCTGTTCATCAAAAACTGTGATGCTCTGCTTACAGAAGTTAAAGAGATGTTTAAGTTTGGCATACAAATCTATTGGCATTCCATTAAAATGTAAACCTAAACTCTCAAATATAATAAATTTCAATGCCCATATTTTGTTCAGCTTAGCTCACTGAGGCAGATTCCTTACTAAGAAAATTCAGATTTCTGTGTCAAAGAAACACCCTGTATCAATGTGACTCTGAGGCCTGCTGGGATACAATCATTTCCAGAAAATCACCTATATTTTACATTTCTGGATAAGGAAAAAATATGTGTTAGCTATGTAGATTATGTTTAGATTCCCTCCAATAAGGACTGGGGAATTTTCATAACAGCTTTCCCAGTGGCTATTTGCAAACTTGTTCAAAACAAGCAAAAGCCATTAAACGTTCCCAACATTTTGCATGTGGAAGGCTTCAGGTTTAGTTACATTAATTTGAAATAGCAGACATGAGGACTTATTATTCATGATTATGGAATGCATATTACAAAATTTCTGTTGGTTTTGAAGTTATCTTTTTTCGGTCCAGAAAGATTTAGCCCAGTCTGCCCTGTTTGTCAGCTTTTTTTTTTTTGTTTTGTTTTGTTTTGGTAGATGTTTTGACTTAAGGAAAGGAAGTTGATCAGTTTCCTTCAGCAAATCTGGCTGAATGAAAATATTTTTAATTTATATTGACACCCTGATGCTTCACTCAGAAAAGAACATTGTTTTTAACTTCTCATCCATATAGTGAACAATATTTTGCATCCTGAAGTGTCAAGTGTAAGGTCCAGGAGGAGCTGGACAAATGGCTTGTTGAACCTAGTTAATTACTAAACATCTGAGAATGGCAAGATGCTTTTTTCCATAGAAGGAAAGTCATTTCAAATATGTGTTTGATGTAGTTTTTTTGAAATTATTTCTCATTTTAATGATGTTTAATCATTCTATTCATTCTGCATTAATATATTTTATGAGATGTAATTTTTTACAAAGATTTAGTCCACATTTTAATTCCTAAATAGAGCATTTTTAGGTAATTGATGACATAGTATCTAAATCATTTTCAAAACTTAATTTCACATCAAAAATACATTCTGATATTATCTCAGTGGTTTAAATAAGTATTATTAGTCACATTTTTGAAGAAGCAAGTGATTTTTAACTAAGGAGAATCAGGCTGAATAATGAACGAACATCAAATCTAAAAAGATATTCTGATAGACAACACCAGCTAAGTTAGACTACACTTTTAATTTCATAATATATTGACTAGAAAAGCAGTGCTTAATGTTAGCAATGTATATGTGTTTGTGTATATGTTCATATATTTATATGGAGAGAGATATATGTGTGCATGTGTATGAAAGACTAAACTTATATATGGTTATATAGATTGGTAATAATTCAAATATTAATTCTGTATAACTAAAAAACTTTGTTATTTATAAATATAATCAGTTATATAGTTAGAATTTATTACATATTTTAATGCCAATATTTACTTTTGATATTGTTTGAATGATATATCGGCTTTCTGTTTAAAATTTTGAATAGATGGTGTCTTTGGAATTATACTTGACTAATATTTTTATCAATAGCATGAGCAGAGGTAATTATTTTTAATATAGCTACTTTGGATATTTAAACATTTTTCCATTAGCAAAGCACACTACTTAGTTTTTCAAAATTTACAGCTAACTGTTGCTCATTAATATATGAATAAAAATGAAGTCTCTAGTTAATGTAAATGAATCATTGTTTTTTCTTTTGGTTACTTTAAAGTACTGTCAGGATAATTCCCCATTTCATGTATTTAACAAGTATTTATTGATCACCTCCAAAAGGTGTATATTTTTGTCAAGTGCATCTTCACTCATAATTTGATGATTCTCATGATGCTTTTACAACCTCCTGAATAGATCTCTAAGGTGATATGTTTTAGTGGTGCAGGAGATAAAATTAAGAGTTTTGCATACCAAGTAAAATTTGAATAATATACTGAAATTGCAAAAAAAAAATTGGTAGGAGTCCTGGTTTATGGTAGGCCCTCATAAATGGGTTATTTATCCACTCATTTATGGATAAATGAATAGTGGAAGATTCGTGGTAAAGGAATTATAACTTATACTTTTATCAAATAAAGTAGTGATCATGTTATATGGTAAGATGGATATTAAGGTTAATTTTACTATTTTATTTCTTTTATTGTCCTCTCAACATATCTGCAACATATCTGCAAACAAAGTGTGTTCCCTATACTTATAGTACAAGAAATTCATCACCCAACTACTTTCCATATATAAAATGGCAATTTATTTTTTAAATAATTGAAAAATAAATACTGATTTTTTTTATAACTGTCTTTTTTTTGCACTTCATGACTTATATAGAATAGTAAGTCTTAGAATTAATTCATTTAAAACCATAACTGAATTGGCATATTTAAGGGCCTATTCTTAAATATGTGCATTTAATGCATGCATATAATATTGTACCTTTGGTGATTATTTATTTTAATCATTTCATAAATGCACAATAGCCTTAAGCATATAAATGCTTATTAATAAAACAGAAATATATATATTTTACTTTAAATATTCATTAAAATGTGATTCAAATTTTTGTATTCAAAGCTCCTTTGATTACATTTAAAATCTACAGGCCCACTATTCAGAAAAATTCATGTATCACATATATTATTTAACCATTGCAAATCATTCAAAGTCATCCAAGTGAAATCTACTCAGGGCTATGGGTTAGGGCAATTAATACACACACCCATATATTTTTTTTTTATTTTCTATGAAATTTTTACTAAGTATTATGTAAAAATAGTTGAAACACTTTAAATAAAAGGAATTAAATTTTCTTTTCTCAGCACTAGCTATTTTTTAGAGAACTCTTTGAAACCAGTTCCTTCAATTGATAGAATAAAGCAAAACCTAAATATATATTTTACTTTCTTAGCTTCTACAGCTTCAGAAAAATGAGACAAGGCATTAAGACCATACCTTTTTTCCATAGGAATGAATACATTGATCACATTAATGAAAAGCTCTTCACAGATATATACAGTTGACGCACTTAGCAGACATGCAAATAAGCAGCAACACAGAACCAGCCAGCTGGAATAGGGATGCTTCAAACAATCTCCCCCCTGAGATATACAGTCCTCACTATTTGTTCAATTTGATTTTTTTTTATACTTTGTCCATTGTTCTTTTGCTACTGTAAAATGCACAATCTCTATGGGTATGACATAACAAAGGTGTACTTTCCTGTCTCTCACTTGCTCAGATTTGCCTGACATTTTCTTTCTTTTCATAAAAAGAATGATTAAGACAATACTTTTTTACCTAAACATATATAGTGTATGTTAATTTCACATAAAATAATGCATTTGGATCTTACAAAAATATGCACATTTGGTTTCTATCCCCATTTCTGAGAAAATTAAAGCTCAATGTTAAGTCATTTTCAAGGTCACACAAATCCTCTGTGACTCAGCTGAAAGTTTTCTTTGATTTTCTAACATTCATCTAAGGAATGAGGCTTGATTTTAAAGGACAAAAATGTAAACTTTTTAAAAATATGAAAAGAAATATTGTACAAGCATATATCAGAATATACTTGCCCAGAATTCATCTGTTAAAATATGTACAACACTTTACTGATTACTATTTTCTGTTTTATAGTATTTGTCATATATGTCAAGATACTGTCCACAGTATATTTTCACTATCTTTAGTTTTTTCTAAACTATTATCAGAGACATTTTAATATCCTGGATGAGAAGTCCAACCAATAAAATTGTTTTCTATGTCCTGAGTATCTTGAGCTTCCAGTCCATTTATTAAGAGCTGGTTCTTTATCCCCCTCTAGTAATGATTCCTATTAGTTTTGACAAATTCAGAATTACTTTAGCAAATTCATATAATAATGATTATTATAGAACTTCTAATATACCTAATAGTTATTATGTATTAAGTATATTCCACACTTTCTTTTTATTCATGGATTATTTTAAATCTCAATAATCTTCAGAACAGCTCTTTGAGCCCAGTTTTCTGGCAAGTATTATACTCAGGATCATGTGCTTTTGACCAATCATCTCTGTCTTAAACTTTTAAAATCATGTATGATTTGAGGAAATATCATCCACTTGTGACTTCTACTTTACTTATCAACTTACTATTTAAATTGCAACCTGCTCTTTGAAACTGAGGAATTCACAAATATCTGAACTCAGTTCTCTGTTATGTCTCATATTGAGAATCATTGGATACCAGAGTTCAAAAACCCCAAACAAAAAGCTGCATTAGTATCCATGGGTATATTCTCAACTTAGCCATTATATACATTGTTATCCATGGACAGTGAATTCAACTGGGGTCATTCTTCTAAGTAAATTCTTTGCAGAAGATTATAAGATATTTTCTTGTCATAGTCAAGGAATTTATGTTTTATACTATGGAAACTTTTAGTGTTTCTTCAATTCAGTATGTGGTTTATTGAATACCAACAAAATGCTGGACTCTTTAGGGAACAAGAAGATTACCTAAGTCCCACTCCCAATCCTTAAAGAATATGATCTATGGATAGACAGACAGTGATGGACTGGAGAATTAAAAAGGTGTTACTGGGCCTCCCTAGTGGTGCAGTGGGTTGAGAGCAGTGCTGTGAAGCTGTTCTCAGCCTCTGCAGTGTCAGTTCAATTTCTGGCCGGCTTGGGGAGATACCCACATGGCACACCAGACCTCTCCTGCCTCGCCTCGCCCGCTACCCCCCTCAGCAGTATCTTCCATCCATCTGTCTGTTCTGTTTCCTACTCTGTCTCTGGTGAATCCTCTTACCCTCCCTCACATCTGGCCTGTACCCCAGTTACTGTATAAATAAATAAATCTTTTAAAAAAAAGGTGTTACTCATCTTGCAATGCTACTCCATTGCAAGCCTTTTGAGCTTATCAGTGAGGAGAATTAAGGCAATAGAAAATGCTATGCTTGTCCTCATTCCACTGATGAGAAAACTGTTTGATAGGCATTAATAGATTCAAAAGTTTGTTTCAACATTACAACAAATTGCTACATGTTCAGTAGTAAACCTCTTGAGTTCAACTAGTCCTTTTAAAGATCCTTACTTTCACAACTTCATTGAGGGAAACTTCATATAATGCGCCATTTACAGTATGCAATTCTACAATCAATAATAAATATAGCAGGTTATGCAACCCTCACTATTAAGTAGTATTAAATATTTTAATCCCTTCAATGAGATCCCTTGTGCCTATTTACTCTTGATATCTATTCTGCTACGCTTTGCCACCATAACCTTATCATACTTTGCCTCCATTAACTATTTTTATAGAAGTGACTTCCATGGACATTTTATATAAAAGGAATCAAGCCATGAGTATGTTTTTTTCTGATGTATTCTGCCTTTTAGTGATCATTTTAACACAAATTTTAAGTGAATACATCTTTAAACATACCATTACAATTATTAATAGTGTGAAAATAAAATAACACCTGTCTCTATTCATCCCCCCGTATTAGTTTTCATAATTGTCACAGATCCTTTTTTTTTCTCAAAACAATCTGATAAAATCATGTAACTCTTCATGAGTGACAAACTGTCATCATTGCACCCAAAAGTGATGTTTGTATCCTTCGTTACCTATTATGTAACTGATTACCAATTAAATAGTATGTTGACCTTTATAATAGGTTACTTTTAAAAATTTCAAAATGTATAAAGTGTATGAAAATTAATAATATTCAGGATATTGTTCATGTATTTAGTGAGGACTGTATTTGTTGCATTTTCATAAGCATGGGAGGGGTGGTTGGTCTTTTCCCCCCCACTTTA